TCTTTCTTTCTTTCTTTCTTTCTTTCTTTCTTTCTTTCTTTCTTTCTGATCTTTTTTGAGACCAGGGCTACCTGTAGCCCCAGATGACATGGAACTCACTATGTAGACCAGGCTGGCCTTGAACTCACAGATATCTGCCTACCTCTGCCTCCCAAGTGCTGGGATTAAAGGCACGTGCATGCCTGACTCTACTTTCTTTCTAACCAGAGTCTCTTCTCCTTCTATTAGATCCTGGGGCCCTTCTATCATATCACCCAGAGGATGAGTAATCTGATAAACTAGGTAGTCTTTCTGTATTGCTGAGCTTTTGCTTTTATTACCTTTTCTGGATACTACATCTAAAGGCCTGCTAAAACTAAGACCTTTAACTGCAGAGCCATAATGACTGGCTAGGGATATAGCTCAGTGGTAGAGCATTTGCCTAGCATGCACAGGGAGGGCCATAGGTTCAATTCCTAGTATCCCTCAAAAGTTATGTATATATTTGGGGATAAGGAGAACTGGTTGGTTTTTATTGCCCACTGAGCCATCTCCTCAGTCCTCATTGCCTTTCATTAAATCACATCCTGTAATTAAGCTAACTTTCCAGGTCTGAGGTTTGCCTTCACCCTCCACTTCCATCCCTTATTCTTGTCCCCTAGGGCCCCTTCCCAGCTGTCTGAAGAATGCACGCCCTGTTCTGAAGCAGGTGGGCACACTAACTTGGCCACATAGCACCTTCCAGCTGTAACACTTATTTCAACAATGGGCATTGGGCAAATATTGTCAATTTTTTTTGACAGGGTCTCCCTGTAGCCCCAGCTGTCCTGGAACTCGCTATGTAGACCAGGCTGGCCTTGAACTTACAGAGATCCGTCTGCCTCTGCCTCCTGAGTGCTGAGATTAAAGGCGTGCGCCACCACGCCCGGCACATTGTCTGCTCTTTATGTTTATTTCTCACTGATTTTGCTGCTTTCTCTTGTTTGCTTGTCTCCTTGCTACACTAGAAGCATTAGCAATGCAAAATTTTGGAGTTGTTCCTTTTTTTTAGCAAGGCATGGTAGCTCATGTCTATAACCCTAACACTGAAAAGGCTAAAACAGGAGGATTACCTTGAGTTGAAGGGCAGCCTGGGCTACCTATTGAAACCCTGTCACAAACAAACACAGTTTTAAAAAAAAAATCAGGACTTGCATACAGATTTGGATATATTTATATATTTATTTATAAACAGGGTCTCATTCCATAGCCCAGGCTACCTCTGAGCTCATGACATTCCTGCATCAGCTTCCAGAGTGTTGGGGTTGGGTTTGTTTTAGAATTATAATTTAGAAGTATAATTAAAAGTAATCTTGGTTAGCAGGGTGTGGTGGCGCACACCTTTAGTCCCAGCCCTCTGGAGGCAGAGGCAAGCAGATCTCTGTGAGTTCAAGGCCAGCCTGGTCTACATAGGGAGTTTCAAGCCAGCTGGGGTTACACGGAGACCCTGTCTCAAAACGAAAAAAGTAATCAATCAATCAATCAATCTTGGCTAGACTGTGGTGGCTCCCGCCTGTAATTCCAGCTGAGGAAGGAGGGTTACAGAAAGTTTGAGGCCAGGCTTGTGTACATAGTGAGTTCTAGGCCAGCTTAGGTATTGGAGTGAGATCCTGGCTCAAAAGATAAAACCAAAGACTGAGCAGCATGTTGCCTAACAGCTTTAATTCTAGAACTTGAGAGGCAGAGGCAGTTGGGTCTCTGTGAACTAGAGGCCAGCCTGGTCTATATAGAGAGTTTCAGGGCTACAAAGTGAGACCTTGTCTCAAAAACACCCCCAAAACAAAGATACAAAAAACTAATCTTATTTTGAAAATTTCAGAACATTTGTGATGACCCTGGCAAGAGTTCTACACAGGGTAATTGTAGTTAGAACCACTGCCTAAAGGCTCAGACGATTTTAAATTCCATCGTTTTTTCAAGCAGAATGTTCCAAATATTTACAGTGTAGTACTGTATTAAGTCTTGAAAAACACACAAAAGATTAAGAAACCACCTTCTTGGAGAAGTAAACATAAATGTGTAAGATGATTACTAAAACAACATTGTTACTTAGGATGAGTTGACCTCGAAGAACCTGCCATATTGGTGTGGAGAAGGCCCTGTGGAGAGAAGGGGACTGGAAGAGGGTGTTGATGGGTATGTAGGTGGGCAAAGCTGGAGAGGACATCTTGACAATAGGAGACTGGGCGGGGTAATAATATGTAGCTTATGTTTACTGAGGACTCAGTACCTGTCAGGCCCTGTTCTAGCACTTTATGTTCATTCTCATTTAATCTTTACAACAGCCCTCCAAGATAGCACCACAGTGGGGAAACTCAGGCAAGGAGCTTTTTTGTTTGCCTTTTAAAAAAAATACTTATTTTTATTACTTATGTGTATGTCTGTGCTTGTGCATTTTTATTTTATGTGTGTGAGTGTTTTGCCTGCATGTATGTAAATAAACCCATGTCATGAAATGCCTGT